TAAAAAAAAAAAAAAAAACTAATCAACCAAATGAATTGAAGAACAAGAATGAAGACAACTCAACCTACAAACAGTATCAGCCGATTCTTCAAAATAGTACCATCCGCAATATTTCAAACAATAAACACAGGACGAGCCGCGTTGCAATAGATCAACGATGTTACAGATTACAGAAATTTGTAAAAACAAAAATAGAAATCAATAAACAGAGGATAGCAGCAGAAATACCAGATCGGATACAGAGCACCACTAACTTGAGAAAATTCGATTAAATGAAAGATGACGAGAGAAAAATTGGAGGATTATTGAATGGAGATTTTCCTTTGGGTCTAGGAATTATCGGTTTTGAGAATTTGGGGGTGGTTATCTGGTTTTTCTAAAAAAAAAAAGAGAGAGAGATGATGGTGGGGGCGTGGTTTACCGTGCGAAGAGAGAGAGAAAAGTGAGAAGATGAGGTTGAGGTATACAGGTAAAAGGAATGAGTGATTTTGTCTAAATAATAAGGAAGTGTATTAATATAAAACTAATACGTAACCCGTGCGATACACGGAATGTAAAATTTGAAAGAAAAAATTGAAATCATTAAAATACATAGGAACATTGTTGAATCGTAAAAAGTTCGATAACAATCATATATTATTAAAAACCTCCGTGTACACAACATTATGAGTTTGATTATTGGTAACTCCTCATTATCACAAACTAATATTTTCAAAAGAGACAAATCCTAAAAATCAAATTAATATTTTTGGTGAACAAACTAATATTTTAGGATTGGTGAACAAACTAATATTTTAGGATTTCTAGGATTTGTCTCTTTTTGGTGAATAAACTAATATTTTAGGATTGGTTATATGAATAAGGCTACCTGTTTTTGGTGTTCTTTCATTCATTTTCATTCAAACAATCCGATGACTTGTATAATGAAATTCGAATCTTAAGCCGAAATATTTAAAAAAAGCGTGTTTAAAAATTGAAAAGTCAAGGCAATCAGTTCAAATTAATTAAAGGTCAAAGAATATCCGGTCCTTGAAATAAAGACGTGTGCTATCATTAACCAAATATTCGGTTATTGATATAGAGTGGTTACCAAAAAATAGAACGCGATAAGGACGCTTCATAAAAATATCAATGGGATAAGCTCATAACAGATCGTTATACATTTTAACGATAAAAGCTCAGATGGAATGATTTATGATAATTATGTCGTAATTAATGAATTAATTAGATGTGTGAAAATGACATAATTAATGAGAAGTGTGAAAAGAACATAATTAATGAGAAGTGTGAAAAAGACCTAATTAATGAGAAGTGTGAAAAAGACATAATTAATGAGAAGTGTGAAAAGGACAAAATCTTACCAGTTTTGGAAAATATTTAATGCAAATCCGACATTGACCATAATTTGACCTACTATTTTGGATAAATGTTAATTCTTATTATATAAGTATAGATATTTAAATATATAGATAGAGGATGTCATTAATTCATTAAATGATATATCATTATATTGGACTTTCTAACTTATATGTACAATATCGGTTTTCGATGGGAAAATTTTTATTTCTCCCATATGTTTTGTCTTTAATTGCATCTATACTACCTATATGAAATATATTGCATTAATACCTAACTCTACCAAAATAATTAGTATCAGCATGAAAAAAAAAACGGTCATATCCCCTTAATTTGTGTAACTGATGAGATTATATTTGCAATGATTTTTGGTTACCAAAAACAATAACTGTTTTTCCCCATAAATAGGGCAACTGATATAATAATTGTCAAAGGAACCTTCCTAAAATCACGCACATATATGAATTCACAGGAAAAGAAAAAAAGGTAAGTGAGTATAAACTATTTTTTAGGAATCTGTTGTTATCAGCATGGAAAGAAATATAAATTAAATTTTAAATATACTCTCTCTCTCTCTCTCTCTCAAAAAAAATAAAAAACACGATTAATAAAGATACAGTATATACACGATTATAACTTATGTATATTTTAGATATATTTTATGTATATGTTGGGATCTGAATGAGATCCGCAGTTCAGGGATCCAGTGTATATTTTAGGTATATTTTATGTATATGTGGGTTCTGAAATCGATTTTATGTATACCTTAGGTATATTTTATGTATATGCGGTCAATCTTCTTGTTCTTGGGCGATTTCTTGAGAAGGGCCGCAGTGGAGGGATTTTTTGGATGCTACATTACTCGGACGGAAACATATACTGAAAATATACGGTATATACCCATAACATATACTCGGTCTCTCTCTCTCTCTCTCTCGGCGCTGTTCGGGTCACAGCAAGGGCTGCTTCTCGCTTTGTTCGAGGGGATCGTGTGGGTTGCTTCGGGGCGATGACCGTGCGATGCCGGGCTAAGGCGTGGCTGTTTGCAGCTGTTGGAGGTGGTTCGACGACTAACAGATTCGTGAAGGGTGAACTGTAGAAGAAGAAGAAAATTAAAGAGGAAGAACGGTAGAAGAAGAGAAAAAAAATATAAAGGACGAACTGTAGAAGAAGATTAAGACGAGAGAGGGAGAGAGAGAGAGAGAGAGAGAGAGAGAGAGAGAGAGAGAGAGAGAGAGAGAGAGAGAGAGAGAGAGAGAGAGAGAGAGAGAGAGAGAGAGAGAGAGAGAGAGAGAGAGAGAGAGAGAGAGAGAGAGAGAGAGAGAGAGAGAGAGAGAGAGAGAGAGAGAGAGAGAGAGAGAGAGAGAGAGAGAGAGAGAGAGAGAGAGAGAGAGAGAGAGAGAGAGAGAGAGAGAGAGAGAGAGAGAGAGAGAGAGAGAGAGAGAGAGAGAGAGAGAGAGAGAGAGAGAGAGAGAGAGAGAGAGAGAGAGAGAGAGAGAGAGAGAGAGAGAGAGAGAGAGAGAGAGAGAGAGAGAGAGATAGAGAGAGAGTGGGAGTGCTGGGGATATTAAATCCCATTAAGTTAGGTAACTAATCTCAATAAATGTGCTGGGGATATTAAATCCCATTAAGTCAGTTAATGATATAATGTGGTATTTGTGCAAATAAAATCAGTAGACTATGTGAATATGTTAATATTTACAAAGTTGTTATATTTATGTAATAAAAAAACAAACTGATTGTACAGTGTGCAATTTCCTCTTTTGGATTCGGTTTGGTTAACCAACAGGTTTTAACCGAACTGAACCGAAAATCGAAATTTTGAGATAATAGAAATCGAAAACCGAACCAATTAATCGGTTTCGGTTTCAATCAAAACCAAAAATCGGTTTTGGTCGGTTAACCACAGTTTGTGCACCCCTAACCATGTTAATAAAATTATTAGTATTTATTTAAGTAATCAGAGAATATGGTATAATTTACTTGTTGTATATAAAAGATTGTCTCCACTGTATAAGGTTATATCCACTATGGAGCTAACTATTGGCTTCATAGTAAAATTAATAAAAAAAGTCCATATAATTTCAAAAATTATTTCATTTTTTAAAATCGAGTATACCCATCAAACACAACCAAAAAATCCTCCCTTCAAGAAGAAGACTACAAGGCCGTTTTTTTCTCATATCAGCGGGTATTCCTCCGTAATTTTATATAGAAAAATAGGAAAAAAAATTAATCATTTTCACAAACGATCTTAATTTACATTTCCTCGCACCTATCAATTTCAAGTGTGTTTTACTTTCTAACTTTTGTAATACTAAGAGGATCTCCAATGCTCCACTTTGAACATTAATTAAATTTGAACACATGTCAAATGATGAATGGAATGTAAATCCATGTAATATAAATGTCAAAAGAGAAAACTTTAACTTGGAATGCACATCTCCAATGCATCCCTTTCAAAAGCTTAAAATAGGTTAGATTCTTGATGAGTTGGCTTTCAAACACTCTTTGGAAAACTAGAAAGTGGGCTTCACACTTTGGATGTTTATTGTCTCCATGTCAGCATAAAAGAGTCCATAACATTATGGATTGGAGATTAATTTTTGTTTTCACTTTATAACTTGATGATGTGGCTAACATTTTATTAAGTCAACATCTCACATTGGAGATGCTCTAAGTTATAGTTAGGGATTTCAAAAGTTGGTAATGTAATTTCTAATTTATGGCTTTCATATGTTTGATTAGATGACATTCTAATTGTGATTTCTAAATTTCAGTGAGTTGAAAATATTGAACAAAACATGAGAATAAGTTGCAAATTTATGAACTTGTTTGAAAACACTTCTTAAATTGACTTTTGGATGCAAAAATTCTTATAAATAAATATTCATGATTAATGCTAATTAAAAATGTACTTATGAATAAGTTTGTTCTCCAAACAATCCATTCTATAGAAATAAAGGATGAAAACTTATGGAGAAGTCCATTTCGGTACAAAGGAGGAGGCTAAAGCCTAGGATAAATAAGATGTTAGAATTCGTCTGGGATGAGACACCCCGCAAAGATCATGGTTGAGCCAAGTACCCACGCCTATGGGAGGTGACGTTAAACGTTGCAAACCTAACGGGGCAGAATACGCCAAGCTCGCCATATAGTCGGCCGTAAAATTAGCTTCCATGTGCACGTGTTGAATTCTTACGCTCCAGTCTCTTCGAATCAAACCGCGGATGGTCTTGACTAACGCTTCATTAACACCAAAAACCTCTCCGGTCACGAGGATCATATTCGTTACACATTGGCTATCAATCTCGGCGATAACTTGACGAAAACCTAAATCCCAAGCCAATTGTAGCCCTTGGAGAAGACCCCAAAGCTCAACGCCCGTAATAGTGGTGTACCCAATATTCATGACAAACCCGGCAATTCATCTACCAACCGCGTCTCGAATCAGCCCGCCCGCACTGCTCAAGCCCGAACTAGCCTGAAATGCGCCATCTGTATTCACTTTGGTCCACCCCGAAGCAGGCGGGGTCCAACGTATCAATCGTGTCACATACAAATCAGCTCCAATCCGGCGATAGGCTGTGGCTGCCCTGGCGCTTGTTTCTGCCCGACTAAGAACTTCCATGTGTCGAGAGTCGCAGCATAGTGTTCGGCGGTTAAAAATACGATCGTTCCGCCATCGCCACATACACCAAGCAGCGTGGATGAAGATGTCGTCCCAATTGTTGCAGCCTTCAACCTGGCCCCTCGAGATGTTTGTCCATAGCCACATTTTAAGCGGCTGGCTGAAGAACTCATCCTTACTAGCAGCCGGGAGCAGCCAGTGCCACACTTCCTTAGCAAATGGGCAGTCCCGCAACACATGAAGGACTGACTCGCTCTCGCCACAAAAATCACACGCATCTGAGATGGAAATATGCCTCTGGACACGTTCCAAGTTGGTGAGTAAACGCCCTCTAGCCGCAAGCCATAAGAAATTTTGAATCCGCTGTGGTGCCGGAGCTTTCCAAATCGATTTCCAGAGTGGTTGGTCGGGATCTCGAGTCGATTGAGATAAGGCCGTGTAGAAAAATTCCCGTCGTGGAAAGGTCCCAAACGAAGTTTATTTTCCCCAGCCGACGCACTAGCCATGATAGCCGTAATCAACTTGACTGGAAATCCAGCTAGTCGCAGGGTTTCTTCTATGAAGTCCCACCGTAGGTAGTTATAAGCCTTTTCGAGGTCCACTTTAATAACCATATAGCCCTTCACACCACGATTAGTTCTTGCGCCACAACAATGTTATCAACGATCTATCTCCCCGAGACAAAACTCGCTTGCGCAGGGTGTATTAGGTGAGGTAGGGACCCCTTCATTCTATTTACCAAGATCTTGGTAAAGAGTTTGTAAATGTGATTGATCAGTGTCCCTCCATCTCCAGGATCGAAAGTGGCCGTGCCGGTCTGGCTAGCGTTTAGGGTTTCGTCGGTGCTAGTCGTCTCCATTTTTTTTGTTTCGGGGTATGGAGAAGTCAATTTTAAATGGACTTTCCATAAGTGTTTCTAAACAAGTACTATATTTTTTTATTTATTAATTTTTGGGTACGTCGCAAAACATGAACGTGGTTGTCCTCACCAACACTCCTGCTTGGACTTCATCCTCGTCGGTTGGGGCTTTGTTGAGTCCCACATCTGTGGCGGATTTTGTCCACACGATCGGCCGATTCATCAAATGCGTCGACTTGCCCGGGTCAGGCCTCATATATATAGTCGAGTACGATAAGCCTAGGGATGAGCACCCGGCCGCAAACTAATTTTATTATTTTTTTAATTATTTTTCATGTAGTTTTAACAGCAACTTGACGATAAAATACAAAGTTAATAAGTAGTTTAATAAGGGTTTNAGTTGAACACAAAATGAAAGCAACAATCACAATATTTCTTAAAAAACGATGTTCATCCCCTTCTCCCAGCTGCAGAAGATCAAACACCTCGAGTCCCAACTGATTTCTACCCTCAACCACTGCGAAACCCTAGCCCACATCACTGGAAGGTGAGAAGACGAGTTAATGCGGAAACAACTCTGAAGTTGATAAGACTTTTTCTCGGCATGGCTGGGTTTATTTTGGTTATTACTTTTTGCACTCTAAATTAAAAACTAAAAAGTGATTGTGCCTGTAAGATGTTGCTTTCTTCTTTTTGCACTTTGCGTTTCCTGTGGTGTCTCAGCCATGGTTTATGAGGGGAAGAATTCAGGTAAAATCCTCTGGCTACAAGGTGATTTTCATCTTTTATTTCTTGGGACGGCCTTTTTAGCATCAAGAGTTTTATATAAAACTCTTGCCCTTTGGGGACAATTTGAATTTTTGGTACTCTGTTAAAAACCTGGAGAACCAAAGCTTGGAAAACTAAAACCTAAACAATACAGACTCGAAAATCAAATGAAAACTCGTTTGTGCTTGCTCAATACAAACAGGAAAATCAAACCGGAACTTGTTATGTTTGCTTTTGTGTTGGGGGCCGGTAAACGAACTAGCTTGCTTGGCTAATTTAACAAGCTTGACCGAAACCTAACCAATAAAAATATTAATTAATGTTCATTAAAGAAAAATCACAAATTATAATAATGTCAACACATCTTTGCGTTATACATAGAAATATTTATGTATTAAACCAAATTAAAAAGAGCACAATAACATCTCCCCTATATAGACAAAGGGGGAAGAACATCCAAGTGTCAAAACAAACGTAAAGCGTACAAATCAAAACAAACCAAACACAACCCAACACACATGCCTTCTCGGACAAACCCGAGACACCGGCACGTTATTACACACGAGAACTCAAATCCCACAGTAAAACCACACAAGACAAAACTAACTTTATTCATACTATATTTGATCATATATGTATATGTACGGCCTAGTGGTGGCCACCGCCCGGCAACTTCTCCTTAATCTTGTCCATAATGCCCTTCTTCTCGTGGTGCTCGGCCCCACCTTCCGCGTAGCCATAACCACCGGCCCCAGCGCCGGCATGGGTGGCCGCCGGCTGCTCCTCCTTGTGACCGCCGGGGAGCTTTTCCTTTATCTTTTCCTTGATCCCCTTCTTTCTCCTCCCGCCCATCCCGTCGTCCTCAGAGGACTGCCATAAATTACCCCAAAAAATAAAAAGATTACTTTTTGACTTTTTTTTCACTATTTGGCCTATGGAAAAAGCTAGAATGCCATAAATACCCCCCCAAAAAAGAAAGGTTACTTTTTCGCTCTTTCCCTTTTAAGCCAGTGGAAGCTAGAAAACATAGATTACTTTTGACTTTATTTTGACTTTTTTGACCGGTTGAAGCTAGAAAGACAAGATTACCTTTCGACCTTTTTTTTTTTCGCCGTTGGATGCTAGAAAAACAATAATAGTAACATGCAAATTTGAAATAATGAATGGATTATGATTCTATGGTCGTTCATTTTAATAATGATTGAGATAATATTTAAAATGTGATGAGCGCAAAACACACAGGTATTATATTATGTATCAAAATATATTTTATAATTCATTATGTAACTGTAGTATGATTCTAAAAACAAACAGAAGGTTGATATTAATTATACCGAGCTGCTCGAGCTGCCGGACCGGCGGTGGTGACCTCCCAAGCCGCCGCCGGCGATCCCTCCGGCAGTAGGGCGGGTGGTGCCACTGTACGGGTCAGATCCAGTGCCTGTGGCGATCCCTCCGCCAGCAGGGCGGGTGGTGCCGCCGTACGGATCGGTTCCATGGCCCATGCCGGTGGTGCCATACTGCTCGGTCCCCATACCGGCGCCGGCGCCGGCGCCGTAATGGTCGGCCCCTCCGCCGCGCTGGATGGGGTTTCCGAACTCGTCCCTGTCGCTGATCGGGTTGCCGTACTCGTCAGTCCGCCTCCCGTAGTCGCTGCCGTACTGTGCCATGGTTTTCTCACTTTTTTTTTTTCTTCAGGTAGACTGATTGAATTGAAGTGTGTAAATTGATCGAATTTAAGAGATGATGATGGGGATTTATGGGTTTGGTTTGTGGGATTATATATAGCGGTGCAGAAGAGATTGAGAAGCAGGGACGCGAAAGTGGTTTGTTAAGGATAGGGTTACACGTGTCGAGAGGAACAATGAGATGTTGACACGTAGGCGATTTTAGGAATAGTTTAAGTGTTTGGGGTCGGCAAACTGTGAACCAGACACGTGTTCACTAGGTGGCATCAAATTATCGGTCAAAAATTCAAAGTAAAAGGATAAGTTAAATAGTTTTAAAACTCTAATAATATTGTCTGTTATTATTTTATTTATTATTTGTTTTAACATTAATTTAATACAATATTTTAACCTTGCGTACCTTTATTATTATTATTATTATTATTATTATTATTATTATTTTTCTTTATGACTTAGAAACGTCCACGTTCCAGCCAAATCTTAACCCCATTTGGCGGATTATGCAATTTCATATATCTTGGCGAAGTCGATGATGCTCTTCTGCAGTTAAATCATTTGCTACATAATTGACTTTCCTATAGTTATTGTTAATCACCATCTCCCAAATGCGCCTCAAGAAATTTCTGATAGCCGAAATAAAAAATAAATACAAAATTAATCTATTGATCATAAACATAAAATTTAAAATAAGTGAGTATTTTAGATTGTGTTGTATGAAATATGTATACTTTTATCATTATTTCGTAGCAATTATAGAATACTTTTTTATTTTAGTAAATTGTTCAAATTTTATGTTTGATAAAATGACAAGCATAATTTTGCATTTTCAGTCCACTATATTGGACTCTTCCTAGGAAAGGTTCGCTTTTTTTGCAAACATCAAATTTAGTACATTAATTTGAAAATTTCATCAAATAAGACATAATAATCATTAGTGGCCGAATAAAGGTCGAATTATTTAATATCATGGACTCGACACGGACTAACCACAGGACAATCATGGGCAAAAAATGTAGTTTGTGCATATATCTTTAGATGCGCAATTAACTGAGCAAACGAACTCCAATTGGTATGAAATTTTAGGTATACAACCATCTTGACGAGAAGAATTCAACGATAGATCATATACTTGAAACTGATTTGAGACGACGCAAGAGTTAATCCGAATATAGAACAACTTAAATTATTTTGAATAAAAAAGTTGAGTAGACAAATGAAATATAATTGAGCTAAAAATTTGTGGTTACGACCGCCTTGATGAGACAAATCTAACGGTGAGCCAACCGATTAAACTTATGCTAGAAGGCACCAAAATGGCCCCTAGATAGAGAACAACGAATTTGGGCTACAATTATTTTGATGACAGATTAAATAGACAAACGAACTCTAATTGAGATTAAATTTGGTGGGCACGACTGGTTCAACAAGAAGACTCCGATGGTGGGTCACCCACATAAATTGAATCTTAGATGTCATGGTAATTAAATTGGATAGAAAATAACCACAAATATTTTTGTATGAAAAATTCAGTGGGCAAACGAATTACGATTGAACTAAAAGTTTACGGGATATGACCGTATCAACGAAAATAATCCAACGGTCGATCGCCCACTTGAAACTGACATTGGACGACGTTCGAATTAGGACAAATTGAATTAATGAATTTTATTTTGCTATTAATGATTAGTGTACCTTTTTTTTTAAACTAATGTATTAAGTTTGATGTCTACCGAAAAAGTGGCCATTTACCTGAAAATAGAAAAATATAATGAACTAAAAATAAAATTATTCCTAAAATGACATTAAAAACACTTAATATATGTTTGATCTGAAGGTGCATGAAAATAATAACCAACAACTACATCGATACTAGTATTCGATCATGAACACAAATACATATATAAATAAACTATTATAAGATATATATATATATATATATGCATATAATATCAAAATTAGAAGAGGTATTATATTTTAAAATTTCCAACATTTATAAAAATAAATAATACAAAACTATTTATAAATTGCATGTGAATTGTTGTCAGTATTTTTACTGGAGTAGAATCGAAAGATTCGTTCCCCGGATCGTATCGCAAGGAAGGTTAGCCGGATATTCTTGTGCGTTTATTCAATCACGAAAAAGAGAAAACAAATTCCTAAACACTCTAGTTCAATATTTTGGGGTTTTCGATTATCAACTAAGGACACTAAATCTAGATTAAACGCAAGTAAAATGGCAAATAAATTCACTGAATGGTTAAAGAGCGAGGGAATCGGGGATAATTGCTTTCGATTCTAACATAATCACCGGCAATCAATTGCTCGGTTAAAGGACTTGAATCGTTTCTCGTTCAGAGGTTCACTCTCAATAACTCTTCGTAACAAGAGAGTGAATATAACGATCAACTATCAATTCCAACAACACATAGATTATACGTTTCCGAACAAATCTATTCTAAACGAGCCTAATTCGACCAACGTCTCCCCTTTCGGTTCTACACGTTGATTATCTAGGTTAGAAAGGTGATCAATCTACTAACCCTTTAATTCACACAACTCGCATAGACATGAACAATCAAAAGCATTCAATCATTATTGAACCTAATCAATCATCCCCTATCCCTAGCGAATGGATTTAGCTACTCATATAGAATCTAACATCACAATTCATATTAACTCAAGCCATCACCATCAATAAAATAATTGAGAAAAAGAACTTACGATTAATGATAAGAATTCAATGTCAAATCCAAGTGCATCCAAATCCAAAGCAGAGAAGAGGAGTTTTCAATCTCCAAAACAAATCCAAAGTGCAAAAGTATGAAAATGAATGAGTTTCTAGAGAGAAAAAACGTAAAAACAAAGTCTGGACCTCGAATCCTCTACCTTAGGACCGAAATCTGATGTTAAAATCCCGTCCTCGAATTTCGCGCCATTAAAGTCGCAAGTCGCGACTCCATCTCGCGAGTCGCGACATCGCCTCTCAACTGCACCTTTAGCCCCAGTTTTTCTCGCGGGTCGTGACATGTTCGAGAGTCGCGACCCGAGTCGCGAGAAATTCTGGGAACAGTTTTCAGTCCGTCCTTCAGTCCTCTTCGTCTTTTTCTGGGCTCGGCCACGGAAATTCTCGATATCAAAGTCTCGGCTCAAGCAATCCTAACCTCGACCGGCACAACCTACCTCCTGAAAACACAAACACGGAAAAACACGAAGCAAAACACGACAAAAAGACACAAAAATACAAACTAAAGACAAAAGTACAAAACAAAAGAAATGGACCAAATAAACTACGAAAAACCTACAAATGGGGGAAACAAAAAGAAAATAAACATGAAATAAAGACACAAAAATGGGACAAACATGAATCACTTGATTGATCGGATAAAATATAATGAATAATATAATTTTTATAATTTTTGAGGGATTATGATCCATTAATTAGTTGAAAAAATATTAAAATTACTATTATAACAATTGCTTATTCAACTTCAAGGGGTTTGAATATACCTTTAAGCAATTAATTTTCTTAAAAAAATCGCTTAATGCGATTAAGAAAAATAATACTGATTTTGGAATGAATAAATAAAAAAAATTACTATATTATTTTTTTATATTTATTCAACTCATGTACTATTTAGTTTAAAATGTAATTAGTTAATTTTAATAATACCTATTATATTAATAAAATAGTTAAAAAGTATAACTATTACTCAATTAATATAAGATATAATGGTTTGTTGTTACAATTAACTCAAAAAAAGTGTGAAACGAATTTTTTTGTGTTAAATTATTTGTCCCTCTATATGTATATAGGCTCTAAAAATCTTTATTTTTTAGGTATTATGATAATTAGTACATATTAAGTTTTCCCAATCCAAGTTCTCTCCCTGCGAACCCTAGCCCCAAATCCGTCGCCCCCAATTTCCGTCACTCTCTCCCTTGATTTCCCGTTCTTTTGCCTTCCTCGGTGACGATAAGACTCCGACCAGTGGTCGTCTCTGACCGCTCGGCCCGCCCCTACCGTCGCGAGTCTCCGATGTCCCTGCAGGTGTCGCGATTGGTGGCCTTCCTCCGTCGTCGATGTGTTTCCGTCGTAGTGGTGGCGTTCCCTTGGTCTGAGTCGGATGGTCGCTCCTTGGTCGCCGGCAGTCTTCGATTGGAGGTGGGAAGCCCTCGATCTTCTTCTGGTTGTCCATTCGGAGGTCTTCCGGTTCGGCTTCGCTGTTCATGGTGGGGCTTTCGGTGGTTTTGGGCACTGGTAATCGGCGGTTTACAGTGGTGTTTGGAGGCGCGTGGGCCGGGGTCGGGGCGGGACTCCGGATGCTGTGGCAGTTCCTGTTGCGACAGTTGGGGTTGAAAGACCGAGCCAACCTCACCCTCCTCTGTTCGACTAGTGGTGTTAGGCGGCGGGGGACCTAGTTCACTCGAGCTCGTCTAGTGGTGTTAGACGAGTTTGGGTCGGGGCTGGTGTGCAGGCGGATTGTTTTCCTCTCGGTTGGTGACGGGTCGACTCGGAGATTAGTTAGGGGCTCAGAGTTGGCTACTGTATAGGCGTTTGTGCAGCTTCGGTAGTGGTATCTCGGGCTTGGAATCTTTCTTGTGTCGGTTGCTCACTGCTGGTTGGGTCTGTTCGATTGCTGGGGAATGGCTTTTGTGTTGCTTTTAGTTTTTAGTTGTTTTTGTTTGATGTTGTCTGTGTCAATGTTTTGTTTTGTGTTTGTTATTGTGTTTTTGGTCTGGGGTCTCAGTTCGCCCGAGTGTGAATTTATTATCCTGTTGGGACCGCACACTCGGGCATTACCCTGTTGGGGTCGTCTTTGTGTTTTTCTGTATTTTTAGAGTATTTTCGTGTTGGGGTCGGTTCTAGGCAGTCTTTTGACCTGTCCTCCCAGTTTTTTCAGCTGTTGGCTGCTTGTATTCAGCCGTTGGCTTTGTGTATTCAGCTTGTGGCTGTACTTTTACACTTTTGTACGCATTTATATACTATCTTATCGTTTCGGAAAAAAAAAAGTGTTTTCCCAATCCCACAAATGAAAAAAATGTTCAACACTATCTTAAATGATGATTTCTTAGAGATCTAGGAATTTTAAGCTACTGCTTTTCATTGATTTTCTTTCAAATTCACCTCTATATTCTACTTTAAGATGATCTTAAATTTGTTACAAAAT